TCCCGACTTTTATCCGTTTAAGATCTTTTTACTTTTTGTCAGCGACTACATGACGTAAAGGAAACATCACATTTCGAGGTTCCAACCATTTCGGGAATTCTTCCCCTTTCTGCCAGGAGCCATGGCAGTGGAAATACATTACACCCTGCTTTCAGAACCGTTTAGTAGGGCATGAAGCATATTTTTTCTTCAAGTAAGTCTTTTCTTAAAGTCTTTCTCAGGTGAAACCCATTTTGGAGCGTCACGCAGAAGCCATCTGCATTGGACACCATCCAAAGTCACCTGTACGCGCGCATACGTTTTTGGATCCTTCTCAAAGTCAGCGGAGAACTGACTTAGATGTAAGGCCAAGATAGCTCAATACCTCTGTAGTGTCAGCTTCATTTAGTCATGCTTTCACTTTCATGGTTTAAAAAAACCTCGTCCCGAGTGGTTGTCTCCCTTCTTCCAGTAGACTGACCACTGCTGTGTCTATGTCATGTGATTTATGCGAGGCCAGGCCCAGGTCAAAGGATGAATGGAATTTTGGAAATAATTAGTGGGCTGGGTCTGAGCCTGAGTGAGAAATATGTGTCTAGGGTGGCGCTGATCTCAGTGGTGTTGCCAAGCTCTCTTTTGTTTCAATTTGTCCCACCTCTCTCTCTCTCTCTCTCTCTCTCTCTCTCTCTCTTTCTCTCTCTTTCTCTCTCTCTCTTTCTGTCTCTCTCTCTCTCTATCTCTCTCTCTATCTCCGTATCGCAGTATCACTGTCTCTGTGTCTATCTCTTTTATTTTTTTCTGTCTGTCTGTCTGTCTATCTGTCTGTTTGTCTGTCTGTCTGTCTGTCTGTAAATCTGAGTCTATATCTGTCTCTCTCTCTCTCTCTCTCTCTCACTCTCTCTCTCTCTCTCTCTCTCTCTCTCTCTCTCACACACACACACACACACACACACACACACACACACTGCCTCTCCCTCCCCCTTCTCTCTCTCTCTCTCTCTCTCTCTCTCTCTCTCTCTCTCTCTCTCTCTCTCTCTCTTTTAGTCAATCTTTAACCACCCCGCACTCTATCTTGTGCCTCTCTGATTTTTTCGTTATTCTTTTACGACGTCACATTTCTGACCCGTTGGGTAATGTCTCTACATTCTATTTGTTTCTGCCCTTCCCACCTTCTGTCTCTATCTCTTTCATTCTCTCTTTATCTTCATTTCCGTAATCATTAATAATAATACAAGTAATATCTTTCTCAGCTCCTTACACTTTCTCCTTTTAATATTTTCTAGATGTCTCTCTTGATGTTTTTCGTTCTTTCTCCCCCCCCCCTTCTCTCTCTCTCTCTCTCTCTCTCTCTCTCTCTCTCTCTCTCTCTCTCTCTCTCTCTCTCTCCTTTCTATTTCTCACTCCATTTCTTAACCTCTCGGTTATCTCTCTGTTTCCGTATTATTCTAGTCTGCTGGTTTCTCCGACTCCCTTTACGTTTTATCTCCTGCTAAATCCCCATAACGTCCTCTGGTCACACCTATTCGCGTATTTTTTGTCTCTTTACTTTCTGCGCATCTGACTTCTTAGCTTTCTGCGAGCCAGTCAGTCAGTAAGTCAGTACATTTGCCAGTCTGCTTCGTGGAGGGTCGAGGGGACGTGGGGAGGGGGTGGGGTGTTGCTGCAGGTGTCCTAACTTCTTTAATGTTTTTCAGTTCAGGTGATTCTGATTCCCTCCCTGGCTTTTTGCAAGCACCAAATGGCTGCTATCGCGTAGGGGTTCTTCTATTTACTCAAACTAGATTAAAAACAAAAACTGTCTGCTTGTCTTCCGGTCCAACAATTTCTTAGCAATTTGTTTAGTCTTCGTATTATTTACTTTCGCATTCCACTTTTCCATCTAATGAGGAACTACTTCTTTCTGCTTTTGTCTTGGTCTCTTTCTTTTTATCACGGTAACCTCACCCCTCCCCCACCTTTTCTGTCGTCCTAATCCCCCTTCTCTCTTACTATGGTCTGGCGTTAAATCACTTGAGGGAAAGATGGTGCACTTTAAGGTAAAACTTTCTCTCTGTGATATTTCTCGTCCACCCAAAAGCTCAGAAAAAGACCTCTTCATTTCCCAAATGATTTATATTGTGTAAACAGTTGAAAATGAAGCTTAATATATATCACAAAAACTTTCCACATTCTTACGATTCGTTCCAGGTGTTACACTGTCTTTGCTTGAAGATTGTCTTGTTATAAACGTGAAGTATAAATGACGTGTAACAAGGGTAATAGTATAATAATAATTTTTTTAAAGACTATCAGAGCGATCCACGATCGTCGATGTCTTTTTATTCAGATCTGGCACTTTATGATGAACATAGCTGTGCACAGTTGTAATGTAAGAGAAACTGTCCATGCATTGTTACGAAGACGACACGAGAAAAACGACCAAAGTCACAGTTTCAAGTGCAGAGAAAATTGAAGTAAGTTCAAGAAAAACAGATAAAGAAACAGCCCACATGGACGGTTTTTAAACTGCTCTCCGTACTACTGTGCCCTCTATTACAAAATAGGTGTCTAACTCAGGGTTGCGCTAGTTCTTTGGATAAACAGTGTCAATCATTTACTGGAGTATGATACTTTGGTCGTTTTCCTATTGTGGTGTTTGTCTTTAAGTGCTTCCAAGCCTCTCAGCTTCTTGTTGCTGTCTGTAGAGTGACATGATAGACTTTAAGCTCCAACATTATTCATTTAGGAAGAGGGCAGTTTCCAACCTACCCGTAGAGCCATGCCAAGCTGAAAGAGATACATCATTCAACAGAGGGAGAGAGAGAGAGAGAGAGAGAGAGAGAGAGAGAGAGAGAGAGAGAGAGAGATAGAGAGAGAGAGATAGATAGAGATAGATAGAGAGAAAGAGATAGAGAGAGAGAGAGATAGAGAGAGAGAGAGAGAGAGAGAGAGAGAGAGAGAGGGAGATAGAGAGAGATTTAAGCCATATATTCCCGAAGGGAATTGAACCCATGTCTTCTGCATGAAGAGGCAAAAAATGTAACCATAACGCCACAGACGCCAGCGCGTGTATAAAGAGTGACGTAAGTTGTTAGCAATCTGTGTTTGTATCTTTTTGCCGAGTCCTTTGCCCCCATCAAAAACAATGCTATATCATTATGCCCGCGTCAAAAAACAATTTAGATAATTTAGAAGGCAGGCTTCGCTCCTATCTGCCAGTACTAGCTTGGGGCTGAGAGAGTTACAACATCGCTGCAGAAGTACCAGTTATACTTGACAGAAAACATTTATTCCCACAGGAATCGAACTCGGGCTGCCAGCGTGAGACAGGAAAGCGCGTGACCGCTACAAAACTGGCGCTGGTACTTAATGTATATTAGAGGTGATAAGAAAGAAATTAGAAACAAATTAAAGGCAATACTCGGTTTGGTTACGTTTATTGACAATCGAGTACGCTAACGTCATAAGTCATGGAGTACCATAAGAACGTTTGGAGCAACAAACAACAGATATCGATACTTGTACTCGTTCATAATTGCCTTTTGCCAGTTACAAAAGCTCTTGCGCTATTTAAAAAAGATAAATGTGGGGTTGTTCAAATCTTCGCATCAAGGTACACCTTGGCCTGATTTCTGTTCTTAAAATAAGAAAAGAAAACCGCACATTTTATGACCCATCTGTCAAACAAAAGATTATTAAATCCAAACTAATCATTACGCAAGACAAAACGAAATTTCAGAAATATAACTATTATAACCCTATCTCACTTCACTCACACAAACGAAATAAAAAAGAGAACAAAGAAACAAGAAAACAAACAAAAAACAATAAATAGCTATTCAGCTAAATTTCTAAAACAAATCTCAAGCTGGGCATTGTCGAGAGGCCTACACTAGAAAAACTGCAAGATATCTAGTGATGATGCCCAGAGATATGAGATTATTGTCAAGAACGAAACGTAAAAGTAATCGTCTGTCTGTTCTCCCACCTTTCTTCGAAAATACACCAGATTGTCAGAGATAATTCAACTAATACAATAAACGTGGAGCCAATCCGCAGAGAATAGCAGTGCCTAATCTATCAAGTTTTTATCGCCGTTCTGAGGCAATCGTAGATATCTGTTCAAGAAAGAAAAAAATCACCTAATAATTCAGTTTTCCAAAAAAGCTTATTTCTCAAAAGATCGAAGAGTGCGTTCTTTCTCTCAAGAATATAGGATGCAAAGTCGTTAACACTATTCAGCTGTTCTTATTCCTATGAGCCTGATGCCATACTGGAAAAAGATACATAATTAATAAGATGGATAGTACTCAGTATAGTACTTCTAATTGTTCGAATTAATCATTTAGCAGGAAGGTTGGTTGAGGCCCCAGAGGTATAGAAGAGGAAGAGGTCGCAGCACGTGCCACAAAAAGGAGTGGGAAGATGATAGAGTTCAGATAAAAAAAAGCATTTCTCGTAGAGTACTCCATCAATGTTTTTTGCGCTGTTTTTTAAACCATCCCCCACCCCATGTTCCCTAAGTTTGCAGTAAGAGAAAACACAACGCTATCTCAAATCTAAATTTCAGCAGCTGATTTGTCTCTGCTTTCATTCATTTCAGGAGCAGTTATTTCAATGTCTTCAGCATATTCAATTACGTTTATAAATTTCTTTCCATCTCATCTACAATGAGACTAGATATTAATTGTAAATCAGATAGTAAAAAAAAAATCGTAGAAGGCTCAATGCAACCGAAATTCCAGACTTTTGTTATAGAAAAGACATCTTAGATTCTAGTTACGCATCTTCTAGGTTGTGTCTAATACGCTTGCTTATACACATGTGTCTTTACTGTTACTGCCACCAAATTAAAATGTCATATACCTGTATAGGTCAAGGAAACAATTTCCTCATAGGAATATGTCCAGTTCCTTTGTGAGTTCTTGCCTTTTACCTGGAAGAGCCAGGTTTAACAGAGCTCAAGTATCGGTAATGGAAATGAAACAAACTTAGTCGTGCACGTGCAGGACCGTCAGACACAAAACGTTTACAAATGCTTGTTACTGTGGATATTACATTTACTTTGAAACTTGTTATTATGTACACTTCACACATAAACAATCAGGCCACCCAAATGCTGACAACACACACACACACCAAAAACAGAGTACAATTTGCTGCTCTATAAACATGCTCTATGGGACTAAGGCTATTCTGAATCAAGAGTACAATTTTTAATCACTCGACAAGGGCATTTTTGAGTATAGTAAAATGTCGTCCCCTCAACTCATTCACATTCGATCTCAAGCATTCCAAGGAAGTACAGCAATAACAGTTTCTCTCAAAAAGAACAAATTAAGTCTTTCACTCATTCACGACATTTTTCAATAACGTGTTTTCTGTCCTGTTTACTTAGCTGAAAGTTTAAAATAAGCTCTTCTCATTACATTTTTCCACATTACCTCACAGCGTTTCAGCTATTGTCGTTTGTCTCTTGGCAAATGGTATAAGCCAGGAAACGCCATGTACAAATGTGAAAAAATCTAATGTAACAAAAGTTTACCATATTATTATCTTTGTTTGAAGATCAAAACAGAAAATGAAAGAAAAATATGACCAATAACACTTTTTCAAATGTAGAGAAAATCAAATTCTGCAAAACAAAATTTTTTACAACAAACAATGACAACACCCTTAAAATCCAAACACCTTTTATTGTATTCTTCACTTGAAGACCAGGCAAAAAACAACCTAAGAACTTAAAAGCAAAATTTGATAACTATGTCCGTTTCTTTCTTTTCTTTTTTTCCCTGACCAAAAGAAAAACGATTTTTAAAAAACAAAAAAAACAAAATTGATACATTGTAGTCAGATAAATGACGTGTACTTTATTAGTAAAGCTCCGAATGAATACACAGCTACAGCTTATCATTCGTTCCTCACGTGAGCGATAATATTCATAGATATCTAGTTAAGAAGATGGACTAATGATTTTACTAGATCAACAATGGGGTGAGCATGTACAAGAGGTAGGATACATAGTAATACGTGTACATAATTTGCATAACTGAACGTACTTCTCGGGTGATTATCAGCTCTCTAATGTCTCATGCACACTCAACTAAGGATTGTGCACCTCGGTCGATGACGTCATCTGAGATATTGGTGTTTACTCCAAGTCGTCAAGAATGGAGATAAGAATGGTCTGGAGGTAAAACCCAGGACGTCACTCTTCACTACCAGGTTCTTGACGGACTCAGCCAATCATCCCAAATCTTGTTGTGAAAGCGCCGTCACAGATTCATGACGCACAGATAGGTCTAGATCACAACAGCACTTGCTGAGTCTGATGATATGCCAACAATACAACCATAACGCTGAAATGTACCCGAAACGACAACACATTATAACTGTCAGCTGAACACTGAAACCGTCTCTTTTTGATAAAACAAACTTAAAATGGAAAATAAATAAAAGAAAAATTTGGGTGAAACAATAAAGTCTGCTGCCTTAGCTAATAATGAAAATGAAAATAAATCTAGAGAGACGTTTTGGCTACTCAGAGAAGCTTATTGTCAGCTTGATATTGATTCACAGTCTATCATAAAGAACATTAGGCAAACTTGTTTCATAGTTATTTTGTGCATTGGTTTAAAAACGCCTTTGATAGAAAACGGTTTTTCAAAAACACATGTTGATAGTTTAAAGGGTTTTTTTTTTAAATCCCCCACGCTCTGCACATTTGATTCTATAATTAGATCTACAGTCACAAGGGGATTCTCCTAAAGTTTTGAAATATCCCGAGTTCTGTTTTGTTGATTTTTGTTATTTGAACCCCTCTTAGACAAAGTAACATTGCCAGTTTTGCGTACCAAAAGACACATTTTCATTTCTTTCTGAAGTGCCAAAATTATCCCCTGCACAGTGCGTATGTTACTGGGATTATACAAAACCAGATAGTCTGTAAAGTACATGCCTAAATACTCCAAAACAAATCTCTGGAGTCACAAGCAAAACGTTTCAATAATAATATTATTACTCTACTCTTGCAGAGATTTCACGATTAATATCTCAGCATTTACGGAACAGAGTAAGTAGATTGCAGCTGACCACTTACATCATCAGGAACATCGGTCGACATTCACACATGTTATTTACACTTAGGTACAGATGCTATAAACAGGTTCTTTAAATAGGCAAATGAACTTGGATGCAGGGTTTATTCACAATTTGAGATAGAAAGAATCTCCAGCATGATATATGCAAAAGAAGAACAACATAAAACCCACCCCACTAAGTCACACGAAATAAGGCGTACGTTATCTACTCAGAAGAGATGAAACTAGAAGAAAGATATAAGTAAAGAGCTCTGTACCGATTCTAAATGTTTCGCGACCGCATTGCCTCTTAATTTAGAACATAATCATAGAATGTGGGCTGCTGCGACTCTACCTGTCAAGGCCAATTATAGCTGACAGATGATACCACATCCCACGAGAAGAAACGTAGATTACAAAATAGAATTCCCAGCGGGATTCGATCTCTTGCTTTTTGCGCGTGAAACAAAGCGTCTAGAGAGTCCAAGCGTTACAGCATAATAACCGGTTCATATATTATTGACTAATGTTACGTTATGGAACCTGTTTTATACCTTCTCCCCAATAAAAGGCCGCTTAAGAAACGGGACCTAAAAATTAAACGTTCATTTAAGAAAGGACGATCTAAGAAAGAGGTTGTCTTTTTAATGTGGTGTTTTACGCCCCAATCGTCACAATTCATGCCATTTAGGAGGTGATCTTCGGCCCTGCCTGTCAGGGCTTACCCGGGCTGAAAGGGCTACAACATCCCAGCAGAGGTACCGAGATACTAACTTTCTCCCAATTCGGGATAAGAACACGGGTCTTCTTCGACCATTCTTACCGCTACCCCTCAGACACGGATTCCATGATCAGAGAGCATAGGACATCAGTATTGTAATGTTTTCAAATATTGCAGCAGCTACATTACATCAGAGCTCCCTCTAAGTTGTAAAAGTAAAGAGAAAGCAAACGGTCTCATTGAATATCAGCCTACCCTACAAGTAGCTAGATCAGTATAATGCCAAACGGGGAAAACCATACCTCGTCAAAGTTTGTTTGCATAGTATTCGCTGCATGTAGTAAAGCTAATGCATAGTCAGGCTGTTGTAAAACAGTTGCAACAAAACGGAATAAACTGATACAGTTTCGACCACTACTACATAGTATCTAAAAAGCGTAATACAGAAGAACTATTGCTCACGTAAATGTGTTCTTATTACACTTTGGTCAAACATAGAAGAAAAACGCGACCAGCTCAGAACAGAAACAAGTACACCATAAAAGTAACATATTAGAAGTACATTTACAAAACAACAACACTTACAAATAAATAGTTCAACATATTAGTTCACACACATTGCGTCTCAACACTTTCAACACATCTAACACCAGACATAAATCTTATATATTTATATATAATATATATAAATACGGATGAAATGTACGTATTGTTATGCAAATCATAATCGTTTAGATATCATCTATGAACCACATAACATAAACAAGAAGTCTCTCCGATCTCTGGCAACCATTCCGGGGAGTATCTTGTATTTATGGGTATAAGTTTGGGTGTCGAGGAAAAACAATCCTCTTACTGACCAAACCATAATAATATGTTCCGTATCTCAGAGAGGTGCCTTTAGCAATACTCAGATCAGTCTTTAGAGATTCGAAATGAATCAGCTTGCTTCGAGGCAGCTGCACCTTCCAAGCTCGCCAAATGTACAGAGGTAGAACTGTCCTCACCAAAGGCCATCTCTCAGAGCACCATCTCCGAAGCCGTCAGAGTTAACCGTTTACTTTCCTTGAAGTCTTCGGAGACATCAGTGGCCCCTCTCAGCATCCTCTGGTTTGCTTTCTGTTCTTTACCATTTCGTCAACTCTAACGTCTTTGGGCGTAGATAGTCACATTCACGCTAGCTCGTCGCAGCAACAACACGTCTTGTGTGTTCACAACAAAGTTTACGAGTGTCACGTATATCCCATGAGCTTAGACACTTGTTACAGAAGCGTGAGAAGAGGCCTTCATGTTCAGGTTTTCATGCGCCCTAAATAGCGTGCGATAATCGCAAATTTTGAAAGGGTGGTTTGTTATTACTTTTCAGACAGTTATGAAAAAAATAAGTTCAGAAAATATATGACGGCCATTAAGTGCGTAGCGTAACATGATATCTGCCTATTTCACGGCCATGCTCGCTGATAGTAAGAAGAGCTCGGCAGTTTTCATGATCATTTAGATCATATATATTTAAGCTAACGTGTAAGACACTTTAAGTTAAGAATCCAAAAATCCCTTTTACTGCAATGGGACTCTTTCATGTAAGACATGACGAAATGTTTTTTAAAAGTTAAAATAGCTGTCAATGAAACTACATCACTAATACTTTAATAGACCAACTCCAGATCTGCTTTGTCACAATCTGTAAGGGCTTTATATCTTCGCACATGGAAACCTTTTGATGTTGTTGCACGGATGGGGGTGAAATCGCAGAAACGTTAAGGTCCCAGGAAATTTGTTAGTCGTCCCTCGAAATCTTAATACTCTTTGGAACACGTGTCTGCAGAGCAAGGAAAAGAGTCAGACAGATCTGCCACGTCAAAGCAGAACGGAGTTCTCGTTTCTGTACCGAAAGAACGTTTTGCAACACACTCAATCTCTTTCGTTCAAATTCCTTGCATTTACAGCAGCTTTTCCCCCATGGTAGTGTTTTATCTCCTGTTCCTGTATGCTTCCTTCTTGGAGACGGTATGAGCTACCACAGTGTTTATATAAAGAAACCTGACAAACTATAGCTATAAAACGTTTGCTTTGCACAACAGTTCACAGTAGAAGTATATGATGCGTCCAGTAGACACAAATATTGACGTCATCCTGAATATTCACGCCTGTCTATCTGCGTGTAATGCTGCATTGTCCACGTATATGGAGCTAGAGGAACGGCCAAAACATTCGACAACCTTCCATAGAACTCTTGAACCTTGCCATAAGTTCAATTATGTTAGTTTGACACATACCCCTAACACTTTCCGCACGAACACTGCATGCTTGTCTTTATATGTTCCATTGATTCCTTTGTTTGATAGACATATCACCAGGAAGGTCAAGAATATTTTTTCAGAACACCTGAACACCGTCCATTTTTTTTCACTCTCTAACAAACACTCTCGGTTTTTTATTTGTACATTAAATCAATCGTCTGCTCTTTTGTATTCAGAGCTATCACCAAAATGTTCTAGGATGTTCAGCTGAACCCCTTGAACCTCGAAGAAAGGTCAAGGACATTCAACGGAACACTTGAACGTCGCGTAAAATTCTAAAACCAATCAGCCCAACCCTTGAACCTCACATAAAGGTCAAGGACACATTTAGCTGAACACTTGAACCTCACACAGTACGGCACCGAAGAGTCGACTCCAGCCAATCTGACGTCCCCAGGCCTCGATGAGGACATATCTGCCCACGTGACTCCTGACGCACTGCAGAACCAGCTTCTTGCTGAAGAGGGCGTTGTTGAGGGAGGAGATGTAGTTGCACATGTTTCCTGAGGCGTAACTCTCGTCGTGTTCGTCGTCCTTCTTCTGTATCTTGTCGTCCACGTAGACAACCAGCTGATCCAAGTTCTTCATGTACTCGCGGAAAGATGTCGCTTTTTCTGTTGACAAAGAGGTAAAAAAAAGAATGTTACTTGTAATTATTATTTTTCTACGAGGGAAAGCAAGTAATAGGGAATGTGTGCGTGCGCGCTCTTGTGTGTGAAACGGTGTGTTCATGTGTGTGATAGTGTGTTTGTGTGTGTGCGCGTGTGTGTATGTATGTTCGTTTGTGTAAAGTAAAATAGTCCCGTAAAGCTTTTTTCTTCGTTGACAATGAATAATATTAAATTCCGCTCTTTAGACAACATATTAATCTTGTACATTTTCCGTTCAAACTGACAAATAGTAAATTCTGTATAACAGGAGTAGTAAAATTAAATACTACATGGAAAAAAGCGCACACTTTTGCAAGTAACGATAATTTAATATTTGTAGGCATACAAAACACTCAAATGAGATGGTGTTATAACAGGGAAAGTATGTGCTTGCATGTATACTTGGATGTTCCCAGTTGAATAAAGACAAAAACAAAAATGAAACCACGAAATAAATAAGATAAAACTAAACAACCCCAACAACATAATTCAAAAGGAAAAAAATGCAAGAGGAAGAAAAATATTGGAGGGATGGGGTTGCTGATCAGCGAGAAGCGTTCTCCACTCACCTTGTCCGTCTCCCTGCCACGTGTAGATGACCACCCCGGACACGGACGCCTTCTGGCCCAGGTCCACGGTCCACAGCGGGTACTTCCCGTACAGGTTGTCCAAGATCGTACAGCTCTGGAGGCGAAGGTCAAGGTTACCGTCCACGGCCCGGTCTGCGTGACCTTCCGGCAGCTTGTGCCGGATATGACGTTTATAGAGAGTTTTCTTGTTGATCCAGCTGTCTTTGTTGTAGGCCAAATTCTCGACTAAGTAAGATTGAAGAGAATAAAAAGTAGATTGAGTCGAGGGAAAAAAATGCATCTTAGTCGATTTTTGTTAGGTATAAAATACATTTATTTATTCTTTTATTAATATGTTGTCTGCCTGTTTGTTTGCTTGTTTGTTTCTTTGTTTTATCTATCATTTTATTTATCTACTTATTTGGAGGGGTTGGGGGGCGGAGTCTCATTTGAAAGCAATTTTGCTCATTGTTTAAGTTGTGTCTTGTTCCCCTAACCCTTCTTCATATAATCCACACACTCCAGTGTGGCTTAAAAAATGATAGGTTTAGTGCTGTTAGAGTATATTCAAGGTATTTTTGCTGTTGGACGGGTCTTCACAATTTTTTTCTTTTTGAAGAAGTCAACCCCCGCCCTCTTAACACTATCACACACGCCACGTGTCTAGAGCAGACCCACTGAAGAATATACTGCAAGGTTGATACTGATTCAATTTCATTAAACGTTTTCGAGCTTTAGTTGGGCTGACAGTTGTTAAGGCTCACCGTCCACTCAGCTCTACCTTTGATATCCTCGCTAAAACTACTGCATAGAAGAATAAGGTTTTCAAATCTATTACCGTTCTCTCCCAATAAACCAATAACTTAATAAATAAATAGAACGATGATGATAAGAGGAACAAAATAAGAAAGTGAAATAAACCGTGCTTTAAACAAAAATGGAAAAAAAACCCATCATCAACCACTACATGACCAAACCCCAAAAGCTTGAAAAAGCAACATAAAAACCAACAGCAGTACTTTTCACTTTGTCAACAAGTCATTCCCACGAGGCAGGCAAAATCTCTCTCTCTCCCCCCCCCCCCCCCCCCCTTATTTTGTGTGTGGCTCTTGTTTCACTCGCAATTAGTAAACACGCCAAAAGAACATTTTACGAGCGCAATGAACAAATTCAGAGAAATAAACATTTTTGTCCCCCAGATTTACGAGATTAGTTCTGTCGTTTCTGTCAGGGCGGAGTAAAGTTTATGACAGTGAATGTCCACCACAAACGTTGGTGTGTAGACACCATCTCAGGGGTCTGGGGGAGGGGAGGGGGGCGGGAACAGAAGAATGTGTCAAAGGCGTATGTTTTAGAACTGAAAAAAAAAGTAAAACATTTTAAGTTAAGGAAAATATTTGCTGTATATCCATCCTCATTGGCTTAATCTAACACGAAAAGCAAGCGAGAACTAAAGGATGGTCAGTCTTAATTAAGCTTCCAACTTTTCGTTGAGCTTTTATCAACCGTTCATATACTGCCTGTTCCTCAATGTCGCCCCAAAGACAAAATCATCACCCCAGAAACATCCATGCGATCTCGCTACGTCTCGTTCAACTCCCCCCCCCCTCCCTTCTCCCCCAATCCCCCAAATCCGCAACCCCTTCAAACAAAGCATGTCATGAAAACCGTGCAATACACTGTATTTAGATGTGGAAACTACTAATACTAATAATCACTTCTCACATTCGCTTATCCATTTTTTCTTCCTCATCACCTCGTTCTTTTTTCTCCTTTCCCTAATTTTTGTTCGACTTCATATCAATATTCTTCTCCTCCTCCCCGCCTCTTCCTCCTACTTTTCCTCTCCTCCTCCTACTTCTTGTCTCCTCCTCCTCCATCTCCATCCCCTCCACCTTCTCTGTATAACCTCATCCTCCTCCTTCTCCTCCTCCTCCGCCTCACCTCCCCCCCCCACCCTTCTTTATGATCATCATTTCATCAGCTCCTCTTTATGACTTAACATTCCTTTGATATCCTCAAATAAACATTAAAGCTATTTCTACCTCGACACTTTCGACGTCCCTGTGTACGTATTCATTTTTCAAACGCAGCTTAATGGCCATTATTTTAATAAACATTGAAAGTATGTGTACATTTTTGGGCAAGCGTGTATCTACTCCTAATCCAGGCCTCGGCAAACAGTGCAATATAACACCATTGCGGTAATCCGCCGGACAATTCAGAGAGCCCCCCGAGAGGGTTGGCGGGCTACAAATGGCTACCTCAGAATCATAAAGTTCTATCTGCTCCGTACCTAGTTTTGAGAAATTTGACATCACTTTTTCTAGTTTCACAATATGTAAAGCTTTGTCGAATGCAATTCTTTGGATATCTTTATAACGACTCCGAATATTCTTACGGTTTTGATATAGCAAACAGAACATTTGCATTCTGACCTCATTATCTAGGTAACCCAAAACGGCCAAAATGTCAGATAGAACTTTGTTATTCTCATGTGTTGAAATATTATACCCTGAACACACCAGTAGGGAACACAAAGCCTGGAATGGTGGGAAAACGTACAGGGAGGCGTCCGTACATAATAATATACACATGCACAATAGTGCTAGAATTCACTTTGATCTGTCATCTCCGTCTTTTCCCCATTTTGTTCTTTATTTCACCTGTATATACGTTAAACGAAACGGGGCAAGGCTCTCCGAAGTTGAAATAAGAAGAAGAAGAAGAAAAGGGAGAAGGAGAAGAAATAATAATAATGTGTCACGCACGGCGCGGTGGAATCAGGCACTCGTCAATTTTTGGGTAAACGGAGTTATTGGTATCATCTTAAAGTTAAAGGTTATTCATTTGCCTTGCGTTTGATGAAAAAAATAATCCTTTATCTAGAATAGAAGTCAAGATATTTGCCATTGAAGGAGGTGGGGTCGCCTGATTTCAGAAGTAAACTTAGCGAGAAATTGCCCGCCAAAGTTTGGTGACTTCCATTATAGTTTCAAGAGTCCTTGGAAACTGCAAATTTACATTTATCTTGCCTTTAAACGACTTTTAACATAAAATCTACCCATAAGAATGTTTTGAATAGACATAGGGCAAACAAGGTGGTGGGCCCAAAAAAAATAAAAAATTCAAAGCAGGCCTAAAAACGACCGTTTCTTGGATTTCATTATTTTGACGAGCTCTTGATTTCACCACATAATAAACACGATTTTTATGACACTTGTTGTTTAAACTATGCATAGTTTCAAACTGAATAAAGTCCACTCTGTGAATGATCTCCGACAACATCACAGAACAATTAATTGTTAAAACCCCTATCAGAACAGAAATTAATTGCTAGTGTCGTTTTTATCTCTTTCTCTTATCTTGCGCACGCACGTGCAATGGATAACTGTGTTTTTTACTTTTCTGTGTTTGCGTACGGTCTATTTTTAAAGATTTTACGGAGCTCACACTTTCTTTTAAAACAGAATAGACAACGTCTTATAGGTGCTATATTTATTATTGATATCTTTTACTAAATCAGTGAGTTTTCCTGTGTGTTTAATAACAGAAAAACAGGCAAGAAACCAATTAAAGCTGTCATAACTAGGAAATGCCACCCAGGTACTTGAATCGTTTCCCAGTAAAGCGTGTGCTTTTCACATCAATGAAACTGCTTCGTGTGTCAAAATGTTACTTTGTGCCAAGTCTGTTTTTAGAGGCATACAGCTGCTTGATTCC